CAACAGCAAGTCATTCTTACTGCACTTTCATCCTTCTCCACCCTGCTTTTTAACAGCAAACTATCTGTTCTGTAGATCCCATCCAACAAGGAAGGAGACTGGCAGATAGGCACGCTATGAACTGGCAAATTAATTACCTTTATTGCCTCCTCTTTTTGACTAGACATTACTCTAAAGTCTTATTTTGATAATGCTAATACATGAAGGAGTCACCAGAGTAAGTAGTCCTTCCGAAGTCAGTGAATATCAGAGACAATAAAACAACATAGGCTGGACTTAAGCACACGTTCACTAATTTCTAGGAAATAAAAGAACATCAGAATACCTGCACCTCAGTCTGCAAGCTTGAGAAAGCTGCCGTATACAGACAACCTGAAGCTGGAGATAGTGCAACCTCTCACAAATGCCTTTTCATCCCACAACACACATGAAAATAAAGTTCATTTAACATCTGTGGCAAATCCTCACCCTTTTAAATTTATTATCTGTGAAGGCTTGTAAAAGGGGTTTCTGGAGACTGGAATGCTCTACCCATGCATACAACAACTTCTGAAGCACAAGAACAGCACTAGTTTCTCCAATTCATCCTACCAATATGACGCCGTTCAAATTGCAAACCCAGCACTTTAAATTCAGACTCTTTAACATGTTTTCTCCTCTAGAGTTAATTTCTGTGATAAACAGCTCACCTGTGCACACGCAAAGGAGATAAGTCAATACCCTGCCCCCCACCCCCGCCCAGCTGCTCTCAGGCCCATCACAGCAACCATCAGCCCAACTGAGGCCCACTTCCAAGAGCCCAAAAAAGCACAGAGGCATAAGGGCAGTGGGGAGCCTAAGATACAGACTCAGACATCCTGTCCAGACCATCCCACAGGCCCAGGGCTGACTCCAGTCAGCCTCAGCCTCTGTGCCAGTGTGAAACCCACCAAGATGAGTCAACAGGACCAAGGCATGTCCTGCCCAGGGTAGGGGACACAGAATGGGTGCAAGGGCAGAACATGTCAGGATCACACAAGACATATTATGGGACCATAAGCAGGGGAAGTGATGGATCTCTGACAGGAACAAACACGCAAAAAGAGAGAGAAGGCGATAAACATGAACTGCACGTAAACACATTGCTGGTCGGTGTGCTTGGCTGGCCTTGCCCTGCACCTGATCAGGACAGGCTGTGTCACTTTTTATTAAATGCCTTTTTAATTCTTCCCTGTTTAGTGTGTGTGCGAATGTATGAAGGCACGAGGGCAGCAACCGGAGTCAGATCAAGGTGGGAGGACGATGCCTGGATAGTGCCAGCCAGTACGTATGCACGTGAGCACGGTTTGCACTAGCAGACCCCTCCTTAGAGCAGGGTGATGGTACTGGTGGTGTTCATGCTCATGTGCTGCATGTGTCCATGTTAACCTGCATACCTGACCATGTACAGGTGTGCTCTGCATGCACAGGAACACATGCTCAGTCTCTCCCCTCCAGGAGCTTTGTTCATTCCTGCCTTTCTACTCTGCTGGTGCCCTCAACATAAGAAGGACATGCAACTGTTGGAACAAGTCCAGAGGAGGGCCATGAGGATGATCAGGGGACTGGAGCACCTCCTGTATGAAGACAGGCTGAGAAAATTGGGGCTGTTCAGCCTAGAGAAGAGAAGGCTGCTTGGAGACCTCATAGCAGCCTTCCAGTATCTGAAGGGGGCCTATAGGGATGCTGAGGAGGGACTCTTCATTAGGGACTGTAGTGACAGGACAAGGGGGAATGGCTTCAAACTTAAACAGGGGAAGTTTAGCTTGGATATAAGGAAGAAATTTTTTCCTGTTAGGGTGGTGAGGTACTGGAATGGGTTGCCCAAGGAAGTTGTGACTGCTTCATCCCTGGCAGTGTTCAAGGCCAGGTTGGACAGAGCATGGGGCAACAAGTCTAGTGTGTGGTGTCCCTGCCCATGGCAGGGAGGTTGGAATTAGATGATTTTAAGGTCCTTTCCAACCCTAACTATCCTATGATTCTATGATTCTTGGAGGTATCAGAAAGACCCCATAAAGCACAGACACATGACACTGGGCTCAGAATACCTAAAAACGTACGTGTCAAACAGTTATATGTCACGTCACCCCTTGGAAACACAGTGCTCCCACGCTTCAGAACACTCTTTCGCATAGATTAACTCTCCTGGTTTATTTGTCCGGGAGTTCAAGTAAAACCAGATGTACTATATCCATAGCATCGACTGCAAAGTACTTTGTAGTTTGGCTCTTTTCTCTTTAGGGACATTTTAACGTCTATCAAAACCTACCACAGTTTCTGTTCAGAGTACTAGAAACAACCAAACAAAACTGGTATAATAAAGGCATGCTGAATAGTGTTACCTTTCATGGAGTAACACTCAATTTTAAAAAAATAAGTACTACCATCAGTTTTAATATTTCTGACACAGATAAAACTATGTTTTTTCTTTTACCATTGATTAATTTGCTGACTTACAATTTTGGCACATGAATGCACCCTGATTTCAGTGCTCTGCCATATGCATATGTCAATAATCACACATCTACTGCTGCGTTTCCAGTTAATCTAATGATAAATAGCTAGTGTTATACAGGTTTGGGTGCTTTTAATCCTTCCTTCTCAAAGCACATTTGATTTTCTTACTTCATTTTAAACAGTAGTTTTGATTTTCAAAACTACCTCTGGAACAGTTTCCAATTACTCAGGCAATCAACCTGCAGCAGCCTTCTGCAAATTGCTTTACTTTCAGACTGTGCTATTCAGGCACAGTATTTTGGCAGTGGCAAGTCCTAGTATGAAGAGCTTTCAAGTACAAATCTGTCTTCCTTCTTAAGGTCAGCTCTGTTCTGGGTTGTGAAGCCCTGTCCTGTGAAGCCCATGTAAGGGATCTCTTATCAAGTGTATTGATTCTAGCATTGGTCCCAAGAGATCTTGCTGACCGTCAACTTTTCTGCTGTGTAAGGTATAGAGGTGTGATTCCTATTGGCTTCAAAGTGCTAGAACATAGTTCTGAAAGACCATCATAGGATTGTGAATATATAGTAAATAGGAAACCATGCTGAGTGGCCTGGATACTATATGCCATCCATAAACCAAAATTCTTTGCTTTACCACATTTGCATTTAAAGACAAAACCTGCATTTTTGTTAGTTCTCTGTTAAAATATACGGTGATAAATTTTTTAACTGAAGAGATATTTTCATTAATTTGCACATTCTACTAATTTTTGTGCAAGATAACATAGTTGTAGTTTGAAGTATTAATTAGTAGGGAAATAAATGATGGCTGTGAAAATTAAATAGAGCAGTTGGGGTTTTTATGCAAGAGCTGTTGCAGCATCTGAACCTTTCTCAGCTGGTATTTTCTGAAACACTGTTACATGATGACTGCCGATAAACATTTTGAACTGGTTCTGTCACCCTGAATGTGTTTAAACATTCTTCTAATTGCTCTTGGCAAACTACAAAGTGATGTATTTTTTTTTACTCAGTTAAGTGAATTTATTCTCATTGGATCCATACTGCAGACACTCCCTATTTAATGAGTTAGGCTTTACAGTCAATAAGGTTTTGAGATTTGTTGGCCATTTCTCTTTCTAAATGATCTCCTCCACAATCCTCTGGACAGAACCAGAAGATTGTCTTACCTCAAGACAACCTCATGTGACAGGGAAAAACATTGGGTTATGCCTCTAGAATTTTACATGCCTGTAAGCAAGCAGGGCAAAATTATTCAGTCAGTGTTCCCTGATTGCCTGAGGCTGCAGACAGTCCTCATTTTTTTTTCTGCTTGCAATTCTTCTTAATGAGTATTTTTATTGGTGTTTATTTTTAATGTCTTACTATGATGAATGAGCTGTTTTCTGAGTCTCAGTGTGTTTTATGAATATCAACAAACAGTTCAGTTGCCTAAACATCTGAAACACTGTTTTTAGTTAAATTGTAATTCTAGACCTTGAATATACTGGGCTACTAAACAAGGATCCACTTTTCCTTAAAAACTGAAAAAGAAGGAAAAAAAGCTCCCACTTGGGAAATCACACAACTGTCTAACCAGGGGTATGTGATCCTGTGGCTTTGAACTTGCAATAAATATGTCTGTTTCTGAGCTAGACAAAGCTACTGTACATGTTGTTAAAAAAACCAAACCAAACCAAACCTGTTCTTTCCCATGAAAAAGCTAAAATTCAGGTCTTACACTGATCAATTTTTGAATAGTCTTCAAGGACTGGAAGAGAGGCTCATTTCACACTCAGCACTATCTTCTGACATGGTAGATCATTTTTGTTAAGTTTGTGGTTTTTGTTAAGTTAGAAATTTCTATTTTTTGTTTGTTCTACCATGTCATGTCATTAAGGAAACTGATCTAGAAGCAGTAGCTTCTCCTATAGATTAATAAATTCTCCTGCATTTCTTAGCCTACAACTGCCTTTGCTCCTTTCCTACCACCCTTCCTTTTTGTTTGCTTTTTTCTCTGGCTTTGACGTTTTGAACAAAGAAAATACACACTTCATCCGTTTGACTGTCAAAAGTAAGTACTAAAACAACCTTCCTGAGCTTTATTTCATTCGTCCCCGATTTCGGACACTCAGCTTTCCCCACACGTCTCTTTCCAGAAACCCAAACGCCTATGATGAGGACTGGGAATTCGGACCCCAGCTAAAGCGCTGGCCAAGGGCTCTGCCTGAGCTACCCGTACAGGAATCGCGGCTGGCGGGAGGACCGCACATGCCGCCGTTGCCCGGCAGTTCACCGCACGGCTCTGACACTGCCCCTACCCCGCAGCACAGCGCGGGTGTCCTCTCGGCGGCAGGCGCCAGCGGGACGCGGCGCTGGTGGCAGCCGCGAGGCGGCCCCTGGCCTCGGGTGCCTCCGGCAGGGCTAGGCGGCGTGCCGGGGCGGGGCTGGGCGAGGGCTGCCCGGGTGCTCCAGCTGCCCGTGAGGCCAGCAGGCTTCCTCTTCGTCCCACACTTCCTGCCAGCGCTGCCCTGCTGTGCCGAGGCGAGCCCTCCCGTCACTGCCCGCGGTGCCTCCGACCTCCGCTCTCTCTCGCAGCGGGCGCCGGGGATTGCGGGGGGCACGCCACCGGCCGCCGCCTTCCTGCTCGACGCGGCGGCTCGGGAAGTTGAGGTGAGCGGCCGCGGTCCCCGCCGTTGCCTGTTGGGCTGGGCTGGGGGCTGCTGCGGCCGGGCCTGCCTGGAGTCCCGTTCCCCGCACGGCGGCCTGTGCCGCGGCTGGGGCAGGCGGCCGGCGGGGACTGGCGGCGGGGCGTGAGGGACCCCGGGCCGCGGCCTGCCGCCCGTCCTTTGGCTGGCGCTGCCCGCCGGGCTGGGCTCGGCCGGCTCCAGCAGCGGCGGGTGGCGAGCGGCGGCGCCGGCGCGGGGTGTGCGAGGCGGCCGGCGAGATGCGGCCAGGGCGGGCTCCGTCCCGCGGGAGCTCGCCGCTCGCCGTAGGTGGATGGCAGGTTCGTCTGGGCTTCGCCTGCGAGCATACCTGGCACTAAGGGCGCTTTATTGCAGTACTTTGTCGTTCTTTGTTCAGTCAGTCTTCCCTTTTTGGGTCTTTAGCGTAGAGAGAAGCGTGTTTAGCCCTAAACAGTTCTGGTAGGTAGAAATGGAGGTAGACAGACCTCCACAGTGGGGGTAGAAACGATGATGTTAGAAATCAGAAAGGGCCGTAACAAGGCAGGGCGTGAGGTAATCTCCTCCAGGCTCAACGGTAAAGGTGGGACCAGATGGCCTTTCCGGGTGCCTTCCAACCAGGGCTGTGACCTGAAACTATTCACCCCCTTCTACCTCTTTCTTCTGAGCCAGTTTTGCTTGAGCGGCTCCCTTCTCTTCCTCCCCAGTAGGCAGAGCTGTGGAGTTCTCACTCCCGCTGGGATGGCTGGTGGCTGTTAACAAGTTCGTGCCTCCAGAGCCGTTCCCATTTATGCTTGGCGAAGTGTTTCACCCACCTCCTCAGAAATTTTCGTTCAGCTGCTGGTTAGACAGTAAACACGGTGTTTGTTTAAGGCACCCTGGAGGCTAACCTCACTTTGCTTTGTTGGATTCCCTTGTCACCTTCCAGATGTAACTGGTCATGTTTGTAATTAACCTGGCCCCTGTGTTGACTCCTTTGAGATGACGCCTCATGTTACATCTTGATAGAACTTTGCTCATGAAGAGCTATTTGCAATCTTTATTTTTTACTTTTCTAGGGGGAGGTTTATGTGTTTTACAACGAAACCATGCATGTAGTGTTACAGAGGTGGGAGGACAGGAGCATAGTGGTTTTCTCGCCACATCCATTTCCTAATGTTGGTGGGGTTTTTAAGATCAAGAGGGTGTCCTATTAATGGTGATCCTAACAAGATAGTTCATGTTCTATGGGAAAAATACTGGCAACAGAATATTTTCCTTAAAATAAATGAACGCTTTGAAGAAATGATGAGATCATTCTGGTATATGAGCTGCTTGTGTGAGTTTGTTTTCATGCACAGTATTTTCAGGCAGTTATAGTATTGTCAACAATTACACCTAGACAGCATGTCCAGAAACTTCAGATATGGGTATTTTAGAAGATTTTCTCAAGTTAACTTTGGTCAACTAACTTCCTTAATCAGAATCAGTACCTGCCTTAAATCTCTAGCATCTGGTTAGCTACACACCTCTTTGGGGATATCTCTTTAATCAGATAAAGATCAGGACATCGTGGGTGTTAGTTATAGTTTCTTGTAGTCATTTGAAAGATGAGATACTTCCTGAGCTGAAAAATAATTAATGGACAAGTGGTAACAGTCATCCTCCCCCTGAAAAGATAATGCTTCTTCAGTATCTTCATATTTTTCTGCTCTGTTACTTCTAGTTGAAAATGCATTAGAAAAGGAAGACCTTTTCTGAGCTGAGTGTCTAATGACGGTTATTCCTGAGAAGAGTGAGAGTGCAGCTGCTCAGTGTGTTGTGCTGCAAATGCTTCTCCCCTTCCTGTGAAAAGTAACTTGGTAATTTGAACAAATAGTGACTCAATGACATCCTGTGGCATCCGTGTTCGATTTTTTTCTGGGAGTGGTTGCTGCTTTGAAGTGAGCCAGTCGTTCAAAGAACAGAAGTTTGAAAAGTGGCTGGAGCTGAGTGTTCCAGGAGGTTTTGTCGATTTGTTTGGTTTTGGTTTTGTGTTTTTTGGTTTGTTTGGTGGTTGGGTGGTGTTTTTTTTTTAATTTGTTTGGATGTTTGAGCCTGCAGTTTGTGGATTCCTGTGCATGGTATTTAGAAAGTCTGTGGTCAGCACACTTGAATTCATTATACAAACTTCAAATCTCCATTGGAAGAGCATTTGTCTGACCTTTTCTGACTTGCTAACTCGAAAAAAAACCACCCCTAGTGTTGCTGCAGAGGATGATGAGAAACCTACTGTGTTTTGTCTCTGACCCCTGTAAAGCAGTCAGGGCACCCTTGAAAGCCTGAAGGTTGCTGTGGGACTGTGAATGGTGATACTTTGGGTAACATCCAACTGTGAGTGAGACCCAACAACTGGATTTCTCTCTCAGGGATGATCACTACTGTATGTTAACCATATATAAAACTGAAAATAAAAGGTTTTGACTTATTTTTATAACCTATTCATTTCAACCCACACCCAAAATATCACCTTGTTTTGAAGACTGGGTGCACAAATATTTGCTCTATGTCTGATTCACTTTCCTAAGAATTACGTTTTTAAAAGCTTTGATTAATTATTATTTAAATAAAATCCAATTTCTGCTATCTTTTAGTCTGATTTAGTCATGTCTGGGTATAACTAGCTAACTGTTGTAAGGGGAAGAGGTTTTGATTAGCTTGCTTGGTAAAGCTAGTATACTTTTATTCAAACAGTCAGACATAAGAATTTTCATAGAAACATAGAATGGTTTGGATCGGAGGACACCTTCCAGATCATCTAGTTCCAACCCTCTCTGCCATAGGACAGGTGATTTCTTCCAGAGTCTTGTTGAGAAATTTGGGATGAATCTGCAAAAGGTGGGAATAGCCCTATGGTCTGTCTGCAGCAGTCCCTGGATTGAAGAAGATTTCCTCAGCCTGGACAGAGTGGTTGCCTGTTAGCAGGTCTGGTTGGGTGGGGTTGTGGATCCTCTCAGTGCTGTCTGGTACCCCTCGGGTCCTTGTTTTTTCAGTCCCTTTTGCCTCAGGTTATGGCCCTGCCTTTCCAAAGGGGTTTTACTAAGGCTCTGTCCATAATCCAAGCAGCAGACCTCCAAGGAAGATGTGCCTTCATTTTTCAGTGGCTGCTCCATCTGTACATGGCCTTCATGTGCTGCTCTGGCTTATGCAAGCTAGGTCGTGAAGGAGACAGTGGGTAGGCAGCTATGCAGGCAGGGGTTAAGGGACACCTTTTGCTTCCCACTCTGTCTACATGCTGCTTTGATGGAATTTTTATCTGTTCTGCTTATTCCTGCCTGGCAGGTGTTGTGCAGATACACAGAGCTGGATCTTGCGAACAGAGGGACTTGGTTTTCCTTCTGGAAATCTGAAATGCAAAAATTGTTTTGCTCTGTCTTTGCCTTGAATGTCTTAGTCTTCAGACTTTGTCAGCGTGGTTGTTAGTTATCTGTAGTGGAAGATCACTGAATATTAGCTATCCTACTTCAGGTGAGTATAATAAAAGAAGGAATTGATCAGACAGACTGATAATGTATTAATGTGGGAAATAAAAGTGTCCTGTGTGTTAATTTGCTTGAATATTTCAGAGGCTAAAATATCTCCCTCTTGATGAAGCATTAGTAAGTTGGCAAAACAGAAGAATGAAATCTGCTGTTCAAAATTCTGGAATTTTATGCTTTACCAAATGTAGAGCATTATGCACAAGATACAGCATCTCATTTTCACATCTGTAGTAAACATTCATGAGTGATATATTCCTTCACGTTGAGTAAAATAATTTTCTTACCCATAAAATCATAAATGTATTTTATTTTCAATTCAGATAACTGTGCCAAACCAGATGTTTCCTGGAAAACAGCATGTACAAATAATTCCCATGTAAATGTGCTTACTGAGCTGATTTGCTTATCTGTCCTCCAAAATACATAGGATCATAGAACAGAATCATAGAATAGTTAGGGTTGGAAAGGACCTTAAGATCATCTAGTTCCAACGCCCTTGCCATGAGCAGGGACACCTCACACTAAGCCATGTCACCCAAGGCTCTCTCCAACCTGGATTTGAGCACTGCCAGGGATGGAGCATTCACAACTTCCCTGGGAAACCCATTCCAGTGCCTCACCACCCTTACAGTAAAGTACTTCCTCCTAAATTCTGATTCCTAAATTCTAACTCCCTAAATTCCTAACTTCCTAAATTCCTACTCTAACCTGAACTTCTCCTGTTTAAGTTTGATCCCATTCCCCCTTGTGCTATCACTACAGGCCCTAATGAAGAGTCCCTCCCCAGCATCTTGATAGGCCCCCTTCAGATACTGGAGGGCTGCTATGAGGTCTCCACCCAGCCTTCTCTTCTCCAGGCTGCTCCAGGATACATGTGTGTATATCCATGATACAAAGTTAAAAAGTTGTAATTTTTAAACTGATGAGAAAGGGAATATCAGTTTTGCAACTGAGGTAATGTTTTGGGTCTGCTCTATTTGGATAGAAGATCTTTCTTGGGTTTCATCTCTTTCTCCTACATTTTGCCTTTCCTCCTGTTGAGTATAAAAATATATTCCCAATGAACATAAATTACTTAAGGGCAAACAACACTGGATTTTCTAGAGAGAGCAATGTATCGCAGTGTCGTGGTTTAAACCCAGTCAGGTAACTCATTCACTCACTTCCCCCCCTTTCTTGCCCTCCCCCCTGCTCCTGGAGGGATGGAGAGGAGAATCAAAAAGAATGCAACTCCCACGGGTTGAGATAAGAACAGTTTAGTAACTAAGGTATAACAGAGATCACTACTGCTACCACCAATGATAATAATGATAAAGGAAATAACAAGGGAAGAGAATACAACACCTCAGCACCAGCCGACCGATAACTTGCCCCCCCTCAGCCTGACCAAGCACCGACCCATACCTCCTCCAACCCTGCAGTCCCCCAGCCCTTCCGGCTAACTCCCAGTTACATCCTGGGCATGACGTGCTGTGGTATGGAATACCTCTTTGGTCAGTTTGGGTCAGGTGTCCTGTCTCTGCTTCCTCCTGGCTTCCCCTCCTCCCTGACAGAGCATGAGGCTCACAAAGTCCTTGGCCAAACCAAAACATCCTTGTTATCAGCTCTGTTCCCAGGCTGAAAGTCAAAACACAGCACTGCACCAGCTACCAAGAAGGAGAAAAATGGCTGCTACTGCTGAACCCAGGATATGCAGTCAAACATTCCATCAGGAAATCAATGCTTTCTTGCCTGCTTGTTTTTAATAGCTGAAAACAGTGGAAGAGTTCCTGAGACTGCGGGATTTGCATACTCAGTAGGTATATCAGCATTCCTTTAACATGGTTTTGCACTTGTGCTTTAACCTACATGTTGAACTAATTGTTCTTCCTTTGAACAATGTAGTTTGCTTTTAGCTCTGAAAATTGAGCTAAATAGCTAGTCCCACACATTTACCAGTATTAAATTCCAGTGCAAGTTGTTACTGCTGATAATATAGATGACTTTCTCTATTTCTGACCACTAGGAGGAAAATGCCAATTATTTTATTCAAGTAACGCTTGGAATGACTCACTATATCTTGCAGTGCTGTGTTTAGTATCTTTCCATGTTTTCAAGTGTATCAGCTAATATTCTTACAGTGAAGAACAGGATACAAATGACTTCATGGCAGGTTCCAATACACATTATTTGAAATGTAGTATTTTATTCCAGTAAACAAAAGTAAATTAATTATCTTGTTCTTAGCTCATGTGGCAGTGCTGATCTTCCCCATTTTCCCCTCTCATTTTTGCCACTCTGGAGATCTGTGATTCTTGGTTTTCAGTGGATCTGTGTAAAGTAAGGCAGGTCTGTACTTCTCAGGTGCTCCTCTTAGGATGGCAAAGCAGGAGAATAGTCTGTGCAAGATGTACGTATTTCTGCAGTTCCTGGATTTGTATTGGAAATTTGTGCATATCTCTGTGTGTCTTAGTCTACTGCATCTTGATTTTTTTTTGTAAAACAACAAAAGTGCATGGTCCCTCCTCATGCCTTTGCTTTTTCTGTTGATCCTTACTTCAGCTGCACATGGCCCCATGGGTGTCCACTGGAGCTCTACTGCATGTGTCAGTTTGCTCAAGTAGCTGAGGTTTCCTTAAGCAAGAATCTCAAGTGTTGGACCTGTGCAGTCATGCACGCTTGTTTTGGTTTGCTTTGGGGTTTTCTGTGGGTTTGATGTTTGTATGTTTGTGTTGTTTCATTGTTTGTTTTTCTGTTTTTTTTTTTTTGTGTATGTGTGTGTGTGCATGTACACAAAGAGGCAGCATTTTCAGGAATCCATGTTGTACTCTTAGGGTCCATATGTACCCCATTCCCAAATACAAACACATTCACAGACTTTTCAGAGGACGCATAGATTTGAGATTTTCACCAGTCTGACAGTATTGTGTACTCCCTGCTGAGGAAAGAACATGGGTTATATTTTAAACTGAATGCAAAGGGGATTTTGTGGAGGGTGCATGTGCAGACCTAGGTACAGGTGAGCTGTTAAAAGACTAAAGTGCTGGCCATAAGTAGAATCAGAATTTCTGGTACCTGCTACTTCTGGCATGACCTTCTTCCCCTGTGATTACAGGCTATGTGCATGTGAAACCCTTTGAGAGTTGCTATGATGTATTAATTTTTAAGTATATGACAACCTCTGAATTGCATCTCTAGGGAAAAAGTCAGTTTATTTAAAAGAATGTACCTTGAGAGGCTGTATAAGATATTAGTAGTAAATGTACCCATTTCAGATTTAGTTAATGCCTTTTGACGTATCTGTCTATGCTTGCTATCTGATTCATCTTCTGTGCTCATCTTTGTGGGCTTTTGTCTGCAGGAGTACAAAAAGAGAAAACATTGATCTCAGTGTACAAGAGAGCAATCTATTATGAACTGTGCCCAAGGTTCCCAGTGGAGTTTGAGGATTCATTGAGCTACCTGCTATTACTCTCATTACGAGCAGATTTTTATCATGTCACAGGATGAACATAGCCTATTTCAAACAGAATTGTGACTGCCCTTTGCTCACACTTTTATATTAAGATGGGCTGTTTTGCAGAAGCAGCCCAAGTGTCATAGCAACCAGTAGTACCCTTGGTGCTGCTCATTTGTTAAAGCAAGGTTGTTTGTTTTTTCTTAGGATCAGAGACAGCAGCTGAGGATCAAAACCAGCATCATTTAATGTAATTTACCATGGTATTCGTGGAGTGTATGCTAATTATTTTTATTTATTTATTTATATTATCCTTAAAGTAATTTGGTTCAATCTAATTTATTCATTTATAAACCTGGAAGCACAAGTTAATATTGTCAGAGGGAGTAAGTTGAAATTGCCTGAGTTTTGGAAGCAAAGTGCAAATTGCTCCTGAAACAGTGAGACTAGGCTTATTTTCTGACTAAAAGAGATAACAAGGAATTTATCCTCTATCTGTAGACCAGTGTTACCTGACCAAGTCTGGGTGTAATATATGATAAAAGCATGACTGGTTTGTTCTGTTCATTGCAGATTTTCATTATATTGCTAGGAATATTCAAGGCTTCCCCCTCAAGTCCATGTGAAGCTTTATGTACAAGGTGATGGCACAAGATGGCCTTTCTTAGTCTTTCAGATGGAAGTATCTAGACAGTGTGCCTTCCTGCCTGGATGTAGTCCCCTCAGCAGAGAGCAGTTTTGTTACTGCAGTAAGTTTCATTGCATGTATAAAGTAGCTGTAGTGGAGGATGCAATCTAATGTGCATATTTTAATTTGCAGGTTTCCACACTGTTGCAGTTATTTGGATTTGTGCTTTTCCTGAAATGGTAGGACTAGGAAACAGCTGCCGAGGGATGAAGTCTCCACCTCTGCTTGTGGCTGCGCTCGTGGCGTGCATCATTGTTTTGGGCTTCAATTACTGGGTTGCAAGTTCTCGCAGCGTGGATCTGCAGGTAACTTACGTATTACTCTGCATGTCGTTGTGTACTTGTGTGGTTAAAAATATAGTCCAGAAGAAGGATGCTTCTCCTACATGTGGTGGGCAAGGAGCTTCAGCGTGTTGTAGGAGTTCTCATAAATACTACAGCTGCTTATCAGTAGTGGGAGATGGGGTGGTAAGAGGAATTCTGATTTTTAGGTGAGGGAAACCCAGAACTTGAAAGCCTGCATATGTGGTACTTGTTACTTATGCTCACACAAAGCATTCAGCTATCTTTCTAACTCTCCATTCCTAGAATCATAGAATAGTTTGGTTTGGAAGGGACCTTCAAAGGCCATGTGGTCTAGCCCTCCTACAATGAGCATGGACATCTTCAACTAGATCCGGTTGCCCAGAACCATATCCAGCCTTGGCCTTGAATGTCTCTAGGGATGGCGTGTCCACCATCTCTCCAGACAACTTTTGCCAGTGTTTTACCACCCTTGTTGTAAAGAATATTTTCCTCACGCCCAACCTGATTCTCCCCTCTTTTGATTTAAACCCATCACTCCTTGTCCTGTCTTAACAGCCCCTGCTAAGAAGCCTTATAGGCCCCTTTTAAGCACTGAAAGGTCACAATAAGGTCTCCGTGGAGTCTTCTCCAGGCCCAGTTCTCCTCTGCTTGTTGCTGCTCTTTGACCAATCAAGAAGAAGGGTGATCTTTTGCTAATAAATGAGTCCTTCTCGTATGTGTCTCTGTGTAACAGCTATATGTCACTTGTTTGTGCAAGTTAGGTAGTGTTGTCTTCCTCCTGCTTTTTTCCTAGTCTTCCGGGAAAACATACTGATTTGAGAGATGAATTTTCCCTCTGAGTTAGTTTAAGACCAACACTGAAAAGTGCAGTGATGTCAGAATTGTTTGGATTAAATTCTTTTATATTTAACTGAAATTTTTATAGTCTCTGCAGAATATACTGTACTGTTAATTTATTTAAACTGGGGAGAGTGTGTCTATGTATGTGGCAGGAGCCCCTGGCCAGCACAACACTTTGGTGACATTAGAATTGTTAGTTCTGTGAAATTGATATTCTTTGTATTGGAGAAGAGTCTATTGAGAATAGTCACTTTTCATTGGAGAATAGTAATTTCTATTTGCCTGGGCAAATTTGCTCTTTCTCAGGGTCGGATCATGGATCTGGAAGGTAAAGTCCGCCGTGCGGCAGCAGAGAGGGGTGCCGTGGAACTCAAGAAGAATGAATTCCAAGGGGAGCTAGAGAAGCAGCGGCAGCAGATTGACAAAATCCAGTCCTTGCACAGCTTTCAGATGGAAAATGTCAACAAGCTACACCAGGAAGAGAAGGTAGGGCCCAGAGGTGTTTATACCTGGTCACAGTTTTCTGTGAGACTGTGGTTTACCAATACACTCTCTGCAACAGAATAAGGTTGCTCAAATGTTCCAGCTGATGGGCATACAGTCTGTGTTGGTGTGGCAAAACATTTATGTGTCATTGTCTGCTATTGCAAGTTGAATGAACATTATAGCTTTCATTGTATAACACATGAAATGTTAGAAGATACAAGTAGCAACACTGGAATAGAACCTCTCCCCCAGTTCACATGTTGGTGAAACTCACCATCTGTTTTGGCGTCTTTTTACATTCCAATTCTCTCCTGCAAGGAGTAAAAGCACATTCACGAGTTAAACAGAACAAAGAAACAAACAAAAGGTAAGGAGAGGGCAAACAGAACTAAGTATTTGCTCAATTTTTGCTTAATTTACAGTCTCTTTTACGAGGGAAATATGGTTTAAGTTTTGTTTTTATAAGCAGATTTTCCTTTAGTCAAAAGTGTTAGGAGTCAGCTAACTGGACATGCTGGCCAGAGTTCACAGCATAGGGTGGATGTTGAGAGGTGCTGACAGGTGCTCACCCAGGCATTTTAACGAAGCTTGGTGAATGAAATGTTTCTGCCAGTCTATGGTGTGCTACCTTTCTGCTTCAAACTACTGTGGTACTAGACAAATGTAGCTGACATCACATGATCCACCTTGTTGTTGTGGTGGTTTTGAGTCTATAAGACATGAAGGAGCTGTCGTCCATTAAACCTGGCATCTGTGCCAGGAAAAGAGTTGGAAAGTATTTTACAAAACCAAAACTGCTGTTGGATGTGTGGGTGGATGTGGTAGTCTGGGAAAGAGTAAAAGTGGTTTTTGGAAAAGGAGACGTTGCTTCTGAAGTCTCCTGGCGTTTCCTTCTGAAAGAGTCGGTGACAGGGATGAGGGAGATTAATGAATGCATTCACACCTGGAAATGCTAAGGGAAATACATAAATTGCTTGTAGAGAAATTATGCAGCCATGTTGGTGAGACTGTTATCACAGGGGTGAATGATAAGACAAAAGTTACAGAAAAAAGTTACAAGGCATCTTAAAAATAAACTGGATTAGTTGTTGTGCTGTGGGGAGGCCACTGGTGGAGTTTTGGATTGTGGGAAAGCCGCGCAGAGAAGAGTGAGGAGGGTGACCAAAGCTGTGCAGAGTTTCTCTGCAGGAATCCACAGTGTAGATTCCAGGCTGGACAAGAGCCAGCTGAGTAGAGCTGTTGTGGACATATCTAGGATCATGAATTGTGCGGAAAGTGCTCATGGCTGGGAGAGGCAAGGAATGGTTGTTCTCCATCCACTGTTGGGCTTCAAATGCAGTCAGCAAGTTGTAGTTCAGACTGAGCAGAAATGCTCTTCATGCAATAGATAGTGAAGCTGCAAATATGTGACATCCATAATTCCCAGTTGCAGTGGGTCTGTGTGGGTTAAAAAGTGACTGGTTAACCTTGGACAAACATCTGTGCCACTGCCCAATACAAAGGCATTCAAGTCTGGCTCCAGATGTTCCTCAGCCAGAAATAGCTGCTGTTTGGCAAATACTGTAGCTGCCTTGGTGTTTATTTGGCATCCAGGGTGCTGGGCAAGGTGGATTTTGGGGTCGATAGCTCTTACATTCTCTTAAGTGTTTTTTCCTCCATCATCCTAAAATGCAATTGTTCATTAATGGAGTAGTCTATGAAGCTTGCTGTTGAAACCGCAGCAGCTGATGCTATAGGAAGCATTAGGTGAACGGGGTACGGTGTACTCATTTCCTGTCTTTTGCTTTTTACGACTGGAGAAGAGCATGTCTCAGGAGCCTCAAGTGACAGGACGAGTATGTGTGTGCCTGTGCACCACTTTGTGGCAAATTCAAACTTAGCTTTTGTTGCTCTTGTAACACATGAGCAAGTGTCCTGCGCAGTAGTAGTTTGTTTTCCAGCACTGATTAAAGAGTAGGGAGAGTTGTTTTACTGGGAACCTGTGTATTTGTCAAAAGATGCCATTAGCCAAGTTGGCATGGATTCCCCCCCTTCTCATTTAGGAATGCTGGTGATATGAAGACAGGGAGGAGAGGGAAAACTTAGTTCTTTGTGCTAAGGATCCTGATCTGAAGAATTTGTCCAGGATCAGAGGTTATTCTACAGAGGGATGTAGGATGTAAGAAAAGACTATTTCTGAGTCCTTTTTTTGTGTATCTATATTGGTATGTAAGTGTGTGTTGTATGTTAATGTGTGCATACATATACACACATGAGCAGACATATCTTTTTTTTTTTTTTGGCTTCATGGATTTCAGTGGAATCCAGGATTCCTGAGAGGCAAGTAATGAATTCATCATTTCTAGTTATTGGAAACTTGGTGGTTGAACTGAACTTTGTTTACTCCATGGGGATTAGTAGCAAATATTTACCTAGTCACAGAGAATGAATGCAAATCCAAATCACAAGTCTCTCAACTTGCCTTAAAAATAATGCAAACTGTTTAACTAACTAGACAGATCTTTGAGTGATAAACGTGATTTTGTTTAGTTCTAGATGTTCTTAAAAATGAAAATGCTTTCAGCTGATGTGTAAGAGTGAATGGTCTGTCTTGAAAACCCATCTGTTTCAGGATAAAAATATAGTTCTGCTGATTATAGAAAAAATCTATATAGGAACAACCATTTTGAGTTAAATTTGCCTTCTTTTCCAGTAGAACTGTCTCTGTGCTACTTAAAGGATGAGGACATAGAAGGCAGGAGGAAATCAGAGCCTGAAATACCCCGTGGGCTCACCATTCCCTGAACCAGTGTAATCCTGGGAAGCTGCTGTTGTAATTATTATTCTGTTAGGTCTGAGTACGTATGAAACACTTCAGTCACCAGTTTGCTTTTAAAAAATCTCCTTGAATTTTTAAGGACTGATACAGGTTCAGCAAATGGCTTGTGGAAATCCATACAGAGATAGACTAAAGAGATCAAGAGAGCTTACATGAACTCTTAGTCACAACAGATAAGTAATGAGGAGTGCAAAGGGCTGTTTGTAATCCATAAGTGATTTCCTAAAGAGCAATATTCTGTATGTTTGTTATTCAGGACTTGTAGTTCCTGGGATATGCACAGCCGTGATAGTCATTTTGAAGAGTGTAATAGGAGAACAATATGTGTCATCTCTCTTGTTTTTAACAGCTAGAGTATACTTTTGTAATTTTCTTTGGTTTTATGTAATTCTTCTCCAGCCCACATCTTGTTTCGCTGAGGAGAGGGGCCGAGCTTTGTGCATTATATGTGAAGCACGTCACTGTCCTGTTGCTCAGTGTCTTTTAACACTGGCCACAGCTGCTCTCGGATCCCGTCCCTCTGGGAAGATTTAAATTCCCAGCACAGCTTCTGAAACAAAATACCTATCAGTATGCAGAGAGTTGGCTCCACTCAAAAGAGATGACAGTGGCAGGGAGGGAGAGAGAGAAGAAAGTCTGCTGTGAAAAGAAGAAGGTGCTTATGTGTGTTTTGTTTTTATTTTATAAACCAATGTTGCATCTTCTAGTTTTCAAAAAGCTTTAAGGAAAAGCAAATGCTGCTTTGTCCCCTGCTCTACTTGCCATAGCATGATGTTACTAATTTAACAAGAGAGATCAGTCTGCTTATCGTAACTGCTACAGCACAGGTTTAGAACACTACCTCTGTTTAAAATACATTTTCTCATGGTAAATTAAAAAAAAATTGATGGCCTGGGTCTATCTGAACTGTAGGCATCCTAGGTGTGGAAATTCAGAGTATGTGTAGCTTAAAAGTTAACTACTGGCACGTTTCTACCCCTTTTATAGCAAAATGAATGGACAAAAAGGAAAGTAGAAGATACATTATGTATACCTGTGCAGATTTCTATCAAGATTCTCATGTAACAGGATTCTGTTCTATTTACACTGCTTATTATTTGGGTTTTAATGGAATATAACAATGACATGGAAGTCCTGTAGCTGTACAGGTCTTATTTTCTCCAATTGGCCTGCTGTTGCCCTGCACTTGTAAAAGTAATTTCTTACTCATATGTGTCAAATTCCTCTTTCTTCTGCTGAGAGTGTAAGAAATTGTCAACTTTACTGTTTTGATGGTTTCTGCAGTTTTAGAGAGCTGACTTGCCCCACGTCATGGTGCATGGTCCCTCATCATGGAAAAAGAGAGTCTAGATTGCTTTTAGTGGAGGGTGTGATAGAGTCCAGATAGCGTCCCTAATCTTTGCCAGGATCACTCTTTACGAAGAGAGTCGGTTGGAGTTTTGGGAGGTTTGGTTGGTTTTATCGGTTAATTTCCCTCCTCCCCCTCCCCCCCCCCCCCCCCCCCTTTGTTGAGGGTGAGAAAAAGTCTGTAATTTCTGAATGGAGTTCAGTGAGAAGTACTGTTAAATGAAAAATGTCTCCTCCATTTTGGGCTTGAAATTTGTTTTGGCCATGCTTCAATTGGCGTACCTTCACTGAAGTATACGTGAGTGTGCAGTACAAAGGCCAACCTAAAAGAGAAATATTTCCTTTGAGATCTTATTTATGAACTTTTTCCCCAGCTGCTAGTATGTAGTTATCCATTAATCTTGTGTCCTAGAATGAAAAAGCTTTTTCGTGGTTGTTATAAATGGTTTCTTTATTTCAAAATGGTGAAGAAGAGTACAAAGAAAACAATTGATGATGTGTGTTACTAGGCAAGTGTGTGTGTGGGGAGGTGTGCTTTCAAAAATAGAGAAGTGGGGTGGAAGTCTCCAGATACAATTAAGAAATGAACAACAGATAATCAAAGTGTGGCTTGTGCTGCATGGCCAGAATGGTGGTGGAGAGCAGGAGCGTGCAAAGCAGAACAGCTCCTTTTTTTTTGCAGTAAGGACTTAGGTCAGTTTGAGTTAAATAGTTAATCATTAAATAGGTACCCTTTTTCTCCCTGATTAATTATAAATGCTTGTTTCTGCTGTTTTCTGGATGTATAGATCTTATCTCTCAGCTTGCTCTGTTCCTGCTTGGTTTTGTTCTTACCAGCTGATTTACTGTTCCTGTAGCTCATCTTTTTCTCTGTCTGACAGCTATATTTGTGAATGCATACCCCTTTTTCTTAGGTTTTAGTTCTGAAGCCAGTGTTTACTCTCGTCAAGTTGTTTATCATTTTATTCCTTTTTCCTGTTGCAGTATCTTATGCTTTTATATACAGCACATACAGTCATTGTTAGAAAACACAAACATGAACTCAATGTACTTGGGTTAGCTGGTTTTTGAGGGTGGCAAATGCTGAAAGTTGCTATTATTGCAATAATGGCCCCAAGAAATGTTTTAAGGACATTAAGCATTAATCAGATCAAATGGTATGTGTGTGTTCAAAAAATACGCTTTGAAATGATTTCTTCACAAGTAATTCTGCACCTATGCTTTGGGTTTTGTTTAAACAATAACTTTAATTTTTGTTTCTCAAGTAGAGTGTGACTTAAATAGACATGGTCTGTAAAGAGTAAGAAAAATGTATCTCTGGTGGTTGTCATTAAAAAAAATTTATAGCCAGCTGGAGCAAGATTTTTCCATCACTGTTGGTGGCAGTGTGGCTTTATTTTTGGTTTCTGGAGATCTGCTGCCTGCAGCATTGACTCCGGATTGGAAACTGAATTTTCCTCTGTGATGATCAGAAGGATTTCTCTGCAAGACTGGTTTGCAAATAAAATAAGCTGGCTCTGAGTTACAGAGTTGCTTTGTCACAGAAGGTAACATTTTGATACTGTGATAATAGTGCTGGATTCTCACTTCTAGGGTGTTGTCTTGTGGGCTGGATGAGGTTTAAAATGCCAGTTTCTTCCTAGAACTGTGTTTTGGCATGTGTTTGCTAGTACTTCCCAGCAGGTTGCTTTTAGGTGTGCATAAAACCCAAAAGAAAATAATGTCTGCCAAATTCACAGGCATGAGGTGAAGATTAGTTGACTCTTGGATGGCAGGAGGAGGCATGGAAAGCCTGACATTATGATACAATTGGATTGGAAACTGACAGTCAGAGCACTGCCCTGTAAATTATTAAGCAGTATTTCAGGTTTAACGGCTAACAAGATTTTTAAACATGACCTTTTTTCCCCGGACTCTTAGCCACAGGCTCAGGGAGGTGGGTGTGGCATTGCCATGGGACAGTGTTATATGTAACTCGTACAGGCCGAAGCATGCTTTTTCCTTTTTCTTCCCATTGTAATATAAGGAACCTTTTTCATATGGCACATAATTTTATTCAGTTCAGCTAATTATAGTTATTCTTGCCCTAATGTACAAAATGTTCAATACTTGTCAGTTTTACTACCAAATAAGTGGTCCCGGTATTTTGGAGTTTTGTATTAAGAGGGGAACAACCAACCAGCCAACCAAAACCAAGGCAGAACAAGCTGTAAGAACATAAAATTGCCACGTCATGCTGATTTTTCTGGTCCATTGACAGTTTGTGGAAATGGCTAATGCTGGAAACCCTGAAGGTGTGATAATCATGGAACAACTTGATTATGTTGCTCGTGCATTAGCAAAACTTGTCATTTCCACTGAAACATTAATTTCATTTCCCCAATAAACCAGTGAAAACAAATAAGAATACTCTTTGTCCTAGGAGAAAGGAGAGGGAGAGGTATTAAACAACCCTAAGTATATGTTGTTACTCACGTTGTTATTACTGTTTTTTCCTTTTCAACAAAGCAGCAAAGCCTTTGCTCTTGAGGTTTCACAGTGGTATGCATGGACCAGCTGTATCTATAGAATGGCATGGGAATATTTTTTTCCTAGGGTTGAAAAAGGTTGCCTGTTCATCAGTACATGAATGACTGCCTCTGAACCGGGACTCTTTAAAGGGTCAGTAAAAGACAAATCTAGCCCTCTCCTATGTGCTGTCTCACTCAGATTGATTGAATGCTTAGCTTTGTCTAATCAACTGGCACTTATTACTGTAGTGTTTGTGAAAAAAGGCACTGACAGCATTTCAGGGTGTTTCAGAGTGACTTGGGCAGGCAAAATGGATGCAGTTACTTCTTTGCATTAAAGTGGTGTGGACATATGTACACACATCAGTACCTGAGCAGAAGCTGGGGACTTGGTATACCCTGATCTGGGACCCCTGCAGAACACTGGGTTTTCCTGGGAGGGGGATAATGAGTAAACTGGCAGTGAAGTACAAGAAAGTGCTCCTAAGATTGGAATGGATTGTTTCTGAAGGGTCAGTGAATCTCATCTCTTTGTAGTCTTAAGCAGACTCTTGTACACCAGACTTTCTGAATGTTAAATATGAATCTGAATTGTCCTGACCTCTGGCTCACAGGAATTATTTTCATTTAGGCTTGCCTTAATTCTGTCAATATTCAGGTGTTTTGGGGCATGTGTGTGTATGGGTTGGTAGAGAAGGCTTGGTGAAAGACTGGTCCAAATGTTCATATGTTGACTGCAGCTTCAGAATGAGAGAACAAAGTGAGGGAATGAAAGGTCACTCCAGCAATTTGTCATCAAAGAGGGAGAGGAAAAGTAGTATAATGCAAGGGCTTCATGTTGCTTTTGTAGAGTTCTTTTATGCTGAATGATTAATGCTTTCATAGCTCATTCTTACATGCCTTAATGCAGGTGTATTGATTCCCTGGTGAGAAGGTTGTTGATGGCAAGCTGTGCTATCCTGTATTCTTCCTTCAAGGATAAATACAGTAAATCTGACTGTGAGATTAAGCAAGCATGAGATTAAACCAGAATAAAGCAGCCAGCAATTTTAGGGCTGGACTCTTTAAATTCCTCCTGTTTTTAAAGTGGAGTGTTATCTCTCCCCTGCTCTTTACTGGGAAATCTGGGTAAAAATGAGTGTTCATAATCTACTAAACCTTTAGAGCAGCTAGAAGGTTTTGTGTTTGGCTGTAATCCAGCACTGCAGAAATAAAAGATCTTGTTACAAGTGCTTTGGTTGATGTTGTTTATAATACTAATGGTAATGCAGGTCCTTTGCAATTAAAACAGTCGTTTCTGTTTCATTCCTTCCAGGCAGTGCTGATGAGTAACATCACAGTAAATGACCGATTGATCCAAAGCCTACGAGGTATATACATCATACCCCTTTACATCGTTTTCATATACGCTTTTTAGCCCCCTGTTTTTAAGACTTCTGTTTTAATTTTTTTTTCTTCTGAGAATCCTGCCTTTCTTCAAGTCATGGGGATGGTGCTGGAGCTGTGGTGACTTAGATCCTGCATCTGCATAGTTCCAGTTCAGTGAAGTGTCAGACTAATCTACCTCAGTAGTAGAAAGATTTGTTCATGTAGTGCTTGTTGTAGGACTTCTGACCCATATGATATAGAATAATAGGGAATAAAACTAGCCTCTATGTGCATTGTTTATATATTATTCTTCATGCTACTTTTTGCAGCGTATTCTTACATTCCTCCCTGAGGTGTTTGGGTCATGCATTTTAGCACGGGGGGAATTCACAGACTCCTATCTTAAATAAGAAAAACTCGGTCTAATTAGTTTCTGTTCATGTTGGTGCTTCAAAATTATTGTTAGCAATTTATTCCTCAGGAAGTCCAGGGAATGATCCTAAGTTCCAGGAGCAGGTAAATGTGATGTGATGCCTTCTTCTTGTGTTCTCACACAGAGCTTTTTATCAGAAAGAAAACTGTAAATCATAGATTCCACTGTTTTTGAGAAACGTAACTGTAAATTGTGTATTATTCAGGGAAGCACTGGAAGCTTGTCTTTATTGTAAGCTAATAAACATGAATGCCATTTCATACTATGTTCTGATTAGTATTTCATAGACGTAAAGATTTCCTGGGCTGAAATCTATCAAAGCAAGTGTTTGTAAACAAATTACAGTATTTCTTATGAAGAAATGCATGTCAGAAATCTTTGTTGCACCATTTTTGTTACTGTGTTAGGCTGAAAGGCTCTTCTTACTCTATCTTGTACATCTGTGATTAATAAATTTAGTAAGTATCTGTGCATTTGTACACAAAATGTAGTAAGCATTATGGATGGAGTTACTGTGCTTACTATTGGTCTGTTGTCTGATACTTCTGTTGTAATATATGTAGATATATATGTTTGTATGTATTTTAATGTATATTTTAATTCTGTTTTGGTCAGAACACTTGAAAGAGTTACAGACAGAATATGGAAAGCTACAGCTGAACGTTTATTGGTTTCAGAAGAACCAGACTAACCTTCAGAGGAAGTTCTCATATGACCTGTAAGTATGTTCTTTATAAAAATGGCTTCTGGAGTTGTAGGTGACTTGTGATAGCACTGTTAGTAAATGTACATTTTTAATGATCAAGTAACATATGACACATGTTGTAAAATCGCTCACAGTTGATCTTGAAGAAAAGCATTGACCTTGCAGTGCTTGGCATCTTGATATCCAGATGCTTCTCCCACATTTCTTGATGTTCCTTCCATTGCAGGAGAAAGGTAACAATATTCACATTTAAGAGTGGGGTGAGGAAATTGGAACACAAAGATGCTGAACTCTGAAGAAGTTTAAGAACTAAGGTATGGGGATACCTGATAAGAAGCTGTACCTCATTATGCTACCAGAAGTTTGGGAGAATTTCTGGTTCAGTTATGGTCAGGGCCTGCATTTCAGTTCATAGCTAGTAATCTTTTTTGTTATAGATTTACCGTTGAATTATAAGGTGTGGGTAACTGAACAGAAATTCTTATCAGTTTTCTTATCAGTTCTTATCGGAAATACACTAGGAATTTCTCCTGTGTTCTTTCTGTCAGTAATGTTCTTGTTCCCTCCACCTGTCTTCACATCCTATTATATCTTCCCTCTGGTGCACAGATACAAAAAAAAAACCCAGAATTTGTTGTTTGCATGTTCTCATAATTATTTTCCATCAAGAATATAATTTCTGTAGTGGCAGGTATTTTTCCAGCAGCCATTGTGTAGCCAAATTTAGTAGGAATTACAACTAAAAGTTTAACATGGCAGTCAAAGAATTTGAAATCTGCAGGCCAAACTTGAAATACCTTTTTTCTTTCCTTCCTTCTCCCTCTTCCTCCTGCTCCATATAAGAATTAAGGATTAATATTGGTGGTTTTGGGATACTTACAAGTTACCAATTATTAGATGGTTGTGTACTTCCCCACCACCTCAGGCATCGTTACTCATTTAGTAAAGATGACCCAGATGTATTGTCTTAGTGGAGTTTTGTTTGTTGTGTACCACAGTTAAGCACTATCTCTATGCTGTTTAGTTAAATGGCAGAGCCGGGACTCCTGGACCTCTGTTCATAGTTCTTTGCTATTTAGAGTCTCTGTTTGCCAGCATCTTCCTTGTAAGGCTGAGATCAGCACGAATAAATGAATCTGTAGTCACATATACATGCTGTACAGTTGCTCTGTCCATGAGAGGTACATCCTTTGAAGCACTGGATTGATACTTGCAGGGAAGTGCTACAAGGCAAATGTAGTCAATCTGGTTTGTGAAAACTTATGTCCATGTCTGGCAAAATGTTTTCAAGTATAGCTCTATTGAGGGAATCATTGGCAGAGTGTCCCTGCTTGTGGGAGTGTACTGTACAGAATCCCTCTTCATTTAGCAGAAGAAGGTTGGATTCTGAGCATACAGCTTTAGGGTCAGGGCTGGCTCAAAGTGGAAAGCTAACTAAGTTACAGTGATGAAGATGAGTTAGCTTGTGTCTGGGTAGATGTAGAGACAGGCGTGATAATTCAGCCATGTACTGGCTTGAACAGGGATTCTGCTAGCTGGTCTGCCTCCAGTCTGTTTCCAGTTGGTCCTGAGGCAGGTGCACTGTTTCCTGCAGTCTCTTCATAGGAGTCCATAAAAGCAATTATTTCAGTCAAGGGATTGTGCTTTCTTCACTAGCTTTGCTGAAAAACTCCGAAGTGTTCATTTTCTGTTTCTGGATATTTTTGTAGCTATGCAATTGAGGGAAATGAGCTTTGCACTCAAATTTTCGTGGAATGATTTATAGCTTGGGCACCCTGCAGCATTCACAAAATTTTAGCAGGAACATATAATTAAATTTTAAAAATGTTGTTTGTTATGTACTTTTAGGGGGGATGCTGGAATATTAATATTTCACTGTTGTAGTAAGTTACATTACTATGCACTGTGTTCTGTTAGTTATAGAAACAGAAATCTGACTGTACTTGGTTACATACAGTCCTCTGCTGCCTCTAAATGCTTCATTAATACTGTCATTTTAATTGATTACGAACAACCTTTTCCCTATGTGATTATGGGCCTAAAAAAGCAAGTATTAGACTCAAAATGTTATTTTTAAGTTGTCTTACTTCTTCCCCTCAGTTTTAGGAGTAAACCAATATCTGTTTGTCTTCAGTAAAGCTTGGCAGGAGGGGGCATTAGACCTGCTTTTCTGTTATACCAGTATTTCTTTCTTTGATTTCAGGTTGTAGGGGTGCAGGTTTTGCACCTTAAGTATCATGTACACTTTGCCCAGTGGAAAAAGGAAGAAGTGGTATTGTGGTATATGGTGGTATAATCACTTTTTTTTTTATACAGTTGGATATTGCACTGTAGAAGACAGTGATAAAATCGGTTGTGCGTGTGGAATGCGTAATAATACAATTTTTTAACTTGGAAGGCACAAAATTAGTTGTTTTTTTTCTCGTACCTGAGTGTTGAAGTTTCATCTTAGCTTTTTGTTTGGTTGTTTCTAGTACTCTGAACAGAAACTGTGGTAGGTTTTGATAGACGTTAAAATGTCCCTAAAGAGAAAAGAGCCAAACTACAAAGTACTTTGCAGTCGATGCTATGGATATAGTACATCTGGTTTTACTTGAACTCCCGGACAAATAAACCAGGAGAGTTAATCTATGCGAAAGAGTGTTCTGAAGCGTGGGAGCACTGTGTTTCCAAGGGGTGACGTGACATATAACTGTTTGACACGTACGTTTTTAGGTATTCTGAGCCCAGTGTCATGTGCCTGTGCTTTATGGGGTCTTTCTGATACCTCCAAGAATCATAGAATCATAGGATAGTTAGGGTTGGAAAGGACCTTAAAATCATCTAATTCCAACCTCCCTGCCATGGGCAGGGACACCACACACTAGACTTGTTGCCCCATGCTCTGTCCAACCTGGCCTTGAACACTGCCAGGGATGAAGCAGTCACAACTTCCTTGGGCAACCCATTCCAGTACCTCACCACCCTAACAGGAAAAAATTTCTTCCTTATATCCAAGCTAAACTTCCCCTGTTTAAGTTTGAAGCCATTCCCCCTTGTCCTGTCACTACAGTCCCTAATGAAGAGTCCCTCCTCAGCATCCCTATAGGCCCCCTTCAGATACTGGAAGGCTGCTATGAGGTCTCCAAGCAGCCTTCTCTTCTCTAGGCTGAACAGCCCCAATTTTCTCAGCCTGTCTTCATACAGGAGGTGCTCCAGTCCCCTGATCATCCTCATGGCCCTCCTCTGGACTTGTTCCAACAGTTGCATGTCCTTCTTATGTTGAGGGCACCAGCAGAGTAGAAAGGCAGGAATGAACAAAGCTCCTGGAGGGGAGAGACTGAGCATGTGTTCCTGTGCATGCAGAGCACACCTGTACATGGTCAGGTATGCAGGTTAACATGGACACATGCAGCACATGAGCATGAACACCACCAGTACCATCACCCTGCTCTAAGGAGGGGTCTGCTAGTGCAAACCGTGCTCACGTGCATACGTACTGGCTGGCACTATCCAGGCATCGTCCTCCCACCTTGATCTGACTCCGGTTGCTGCCCTCGTGCCTTCATACATTCGCACACACACTAAACAGGGAAGAATTAAAAAGGCATTTAATAAAAAGTGACACAGCCTGTCCTGATCAGGTGCAGGGCAAGGCCAGCCAAGCACACCGACCAGCAATGTGTTTACGTGCAGTTCATGTTTATCGCCTTCTCTCTCTTTTTGTGTGTTTGTTCCTGTCAGAGATCCATCACTTCCCCTGCTTATGGTCCCATAATATGTCTTGTGTGATCCTGACATGTTCTGCCCTTGCACCCATTCTGTGTCCCCTACCCTGGGCAGGACATGCCTTGGTCCTGTTGACTCATCTTGGTGGGTTTCACACTGGCACAGAGGCTGAGGCTGACTGGAGTCAGCCCTGGGCCTGTGGGATGGTCTGGACAGGATGTCTGAGTCTGTATCTTAGGCTCCCCACTGCCCTTATGCCTCTGTGCTTTTTTGGGCTCTTGGAAGTGGGCCTCAGTTGGGCTGATGGTTGCTGTGATGGGCCTGAGAGCAGCTGGGCGGGGGTGGGGGGCAGGGTATTGACTTATCTCCTTTGCGTGTGCACAGGTGAGCTGTTTATCACAGAAATTAACTCTAGAGGAGAAAACATGTTAAAGAGTCTGAATTTAAAGTGCTGGGTTTGCAATTTGAACGGCGTCATATTGGTAGGATGAATTGGAGAAACTAGTGCTGTTCTTGTGCTTCAGAAGTTGTTGTATGCATGGGTAGAGCATTCCAGTCTCCAGAAACCCCTTTTACAAGCCTTCACAGATAATAAATTTAAAAGGGTGAGGATTTGCCACAGATGTTAAATGAACTTTATTTTCATGTGTGTTGTGGGATGAAAAGGCATTTGTGAGAGGTTGCACTATCTCCAGCTTCAGGTTGTCTGTATACGGCAGCTTTCTCAAGCTTGCAGACTGAGGTGCAGGTATTCTGATGTTCTTTTATTTCCTAGAAATTAGTGAACGTGTGCTTAAGTCCAGCCTATGTTGTTTTATTGTCTCTGATATTCACTGACTTCGGAAGGACTACTTACTCTGGTGACTCCTTCATGTATTAGCATTATCAAAATAAGACTTTAGAGTAATGTCTAGTCAAAAAGAGGAGGCAATAAAGGTAATTAATTTGCCAGTTCATAGCGTGCCTATCTGCCAGTCTCCTTCCTTGTTGGATGGGATCTACAGAACAGATAGTTTGCTGTTAAAAAGCAGGGTGGAGAAGGATGAAAGTGCAGTAAGAATGACTTGCTGTTGTAGAGGGCTCATGGCCTGAGAATTCCTCTGGATTAGGGAGTAGCTTACTTGCAACGTGAGAAATGGAATATGCGCATCTGAACCAACTGCTGCCACAATAGAGCTACTAACACTGCCAGAACCAGCCTCAGAAGATACTCATCTCCGTTCTCTCTTAGGGAAAGGGAGGTAAAATTTGCAGTATATTGACCATACTGTTGCACAAGGGATGCCAAGAAAGGTTTTGCATGCAGAACGATGTATTTGCAGAGTCTGTAACCGATGGTATACATAGAACTCAAAGTTATCTCAGAGGGGAAAAAAATGAGAGAAAGGAAAAGAAGTTTAAAAAAACCACAACAAACTCCTCTGCCACTGTTAGTGAAACAGCATGGTCTCCAGCCAAGCCTCTTCCTTGGGCATGCTTTCCAGAGCAGTGGGTGCTGACAGCAAAGGTTTTTCACCACGTTTTGTCCTAGCGTGATACACTTTTCATCCCCACTCAAACACACTATTGCTTGTTACTGTTCACAATGGGATCAAAAGCATACTTGGGGTCCTGTGAGGACTGGTTTCTCAGCCTTCTGCATGTCTGTTATGGTGTAATGCTTACCTGCTTTGTTATCCACTGGGTTTTGTTCTTCTGCTAATATAAACAGAAAGTTCCAAACAGGTTATGAAGAGAGTGGGGGAGAAGAGGTGATTTTTTTTCCTAACGGCAGCCATTTACTCTGAAAAACCCAGCTTGACCTGGGGTTTGCACAGGCACAAAGGGGAAAACCCTGCCCTGGCAGATTCAGGAAAAACCCTTCTGCAACAGCCTAGGGCTTACCTGGAGGTTATGGAGCTGTGGGGGGCAGGCAGACTGCAGAGCTGCAAACAGAAGACCTGTGGTGTCACACAGGTTAAGGCACTAATGGCATTGTGTAACTACTGAAAGTATGTAAAAGATATAGGATACTTGCATCTTTAGGAAATGCTTTTGGAACTACTGGTGAACTCCGTTTCTGTAATGTATGCTCTGTTAAGTCTTCCAGCACTGCACTTCAGGAAATACTGAGAAAGGGTGTTGTCTTTGCTAGCAGTGGCTTACATCAATGTTTTATTTCGGCCAGTACCTTGCTGTTTCCCCTTCCTAGCTAAACTCCAAATACTCATTTCTGTTGCCTAGAAATGCTTCAAGGATGAAAATTGATCCTGACTTGTTGAAATTGACAGGTTAGTGGAAGACAAAAAAATTCATGTAGCTTGTTGAGCTGGTCTAACAAAAGCAGTTTAAATAAATTTCTTTCAGTGGAAGGAACTTCACCACCTTCACAACATGTTTGTCCCTAGGACTTAGATTAACATCCCATTTCTTACTTCTGACTTCTCAAATATAAGCACAGCTAGTAGGACTAAAAAAAAAGTAATAAAATAATAATAAAAAAGATCATTTTAGAAAAGAATATTTTGACATTCTAGAAGAGTGTGGATGACAGTTGACAGCTGCTTACCTTTTTGTTTTCTCCAGGTCACAATGCATCAACCAGATGAAAGAATTAAAAGAGCAATGTGAAGAAAGGATAGATGAGCTTACAAAAAAGGTTACTGATGTTCCACAAATCAAAGAAAACAAAGACGTATCAGAAGATTTGAAAAAAAGTAGCCAGGTATGGTTGGGTAATTTCTTAAAAATATTTCCGTTTGTAATTCCTGGGCAGTTTTCCACTATCTCCATGTAACCTTAGCCCTCCTCAGTAAGTTTTGCACTGATTTCCTTCACATTTGTTGGATATTTGTGATCGATGAGAAACTGAGTGATTGCAAGGACAGAACAGGCAAAAGGTTCTGCAGGAGACTTCAAATCTGTATCTCTGAGAGGGGCAGAATTTGAGAGGTGATGTTAGGAGTGGTGTGGAGCCTCTTAAAGAATATTTATGCTGCTGAGCTTTGTCTGACAGCTCCCTTTGACTTTGTAAAGGACTTAGTTGCTTTGTATGTTGAAGATGTGTGTTAAAGATGAGGATTAATTTTTAACAGTTCAGAGTAGCAACGAGCTGTAAGATACTGTAGTCCGAAGGTCTTTGAGGTGCATTGGCTATAAATTTTCACAGGAATCGTAATGTCAGCCTTTTACTGTGGGGACAAGGGGAAGATCAAATGTCTCAGGTATTTGCTTTTGGATATTCTGAGTCAAAGGACCATGTGACACGAGAAGGCTCATTAGGGTAGGGCAGGCTTGCCGCATAGAGTGACTGCATGGCAGCTGACTCTTTCTTCCTGGAGTAGAGAGGTCAGAGGAAGTCCTGAGAAGGAAATTTCAGATCATGCTGTTGCCTTGGCATGTGAATTATTGATGTTTCTTCAGTGAAGGATAGGACTTGACTGGCTATAGAATCATAGAATACTTAAGGTTGGAAAGGACCTTAAGATCACCCGGTTCCAACCCCTCTGCCATGGGCAGGGGCACCTTCTAGTAGGTGAGGTTCCTCAAAGCCCCGTCCAGCCTGACCTTGAACACTGCCAGGGATGGGGCACCCACAACTGTTCTGAGCATCCTGTGCCAGTGCCACACCACCCTCCTAATGTCTAATCTGAATCTCCCCTCTCTCAGTTTAAAGCCATTCCCCCTTGTCCCGTCACTACGTGCCCTCGTAAAAGTCCCTCTTCAGTTTTCTTTTTGGCCCCCTTAGTACTGGAAGGCTGCCCTAGGTTCTTCTTGGAGCCTTGTCTTCTCCAGGCTGAACAAGGCCAACTCTCTCAGCCTGTCTCCTTAGGAGAGGTGCTCCAGCCCTCTGATCATCTTCATGGTCTCCTCTGGAGTCACTCAAGCAGGTCCATGCCCCTCTGTGTTGGGGGCCCCAGATCTGAACACAGCACTACAGGTGGAGTCTCACAAGAGCAGAGTAGAGGGGCAGGATCACCTCCTTCGACCTGCTGGTCACGCTTCTTTTGATGAAGCCCTGGATACGGTTGGCTTTCTGGGCTGCCTGCACACACTGAAGCTGGCTCACGTTGAGCTTCTCATCAACCAACAGCCCCAAGTCCTTCTCTACAGGGCTGCTCTCGGTCCATTTTCTGCCCAACCTGTAGCTGTGCCTGGGATTGCCCCGATCCAGGTGTAGGAACTTGCACTTGGCCATGTTGAACTTCACGAGGTTGGCATTGGTCCACCTCCCTAACTCCTCTTGCTTTTCCCCATGCTATGCCCATTGCCTTAGAGGCATTTCAGTTGGGCCCCTGATGAAGCTGGCTTACTTACTGGCTGGAGTGACGGGTATTACTTTGTACTGCTCTTCAGGTGCTCCTTTGCTGACCTGTGATCCCTCTCCAGGCTCTAGGCATCTCCTATTGGCACCAGAATCAGACTGGTAGGAGTGAGATGAAGTGAGGTTCCCTTCCCCAGCAACTTTAGTTGAAAGCCACTTCCAGCAGCCTGGCAAGCCTGTGACTGAAGACACTCTTCCCTTTCTCCAAAGGTGGACCCCATCAGCCCCCAGTAGAGCATGTTTCTCAAAGTGAGTTCCATGGTCGAAGTAGCCAAACCCCTGGTTGTGGCACCTCTAACCATTTGTTGATTCCCCGCATTGATACAGACAGCCCTGGACACATGCAGTGAAGCTCCTGGGTTTGAAGGCAGCTAATTTATTTCTATGCACCAAAGCAGCCCTTCCTTCAGCCCTGTAAGGGCTAGTCACAAAGTTTACTTGTTTGCAGTGGGGCCTTTCCCCCACACCTTGGTGGGCAACTCTTATTGCAATATACGGTGGGGGTTTGGTTGTATATACCCTTTAGTCTTGGCTAGGAAAAGGCTACTAGAAGAAAGCATTTGGTGACTTGAGAAGTGGAAAGGGTAATGCAACAAGGATTGAAGCTGGGTTTTGCAAATAGCTGGAAATGGGTGGGGGAAAATGGCTGCAGCATCTGTCCAGAGAACCCTAGGTGCTCGGGTAATGGTTCCAGTTTGTGTCCAGTCCTGTATGTGAAATGGTGGAAAACTGCTGAAGCTTGATCCTGGAAACCTACATTGTGTGAGAGCTGAAAGATGGATGAAGCATTAGAAACAGTTAATGCTAGAGAAAAAAAAAAAAGGTGAAAGCTCTTGTTTGTCAATAATTTTTATCACGCATCAAATAAGTAAATAAAAAGTAATAATAGTAATAGTGAATATATGGTATAAGTAAACAAAAAGCCAATTTTGAGAGGACTTAATGTCAAGGTGTAAAATGCTATTTCAAAAGGTGATGTGGGGAAGAGCACAGTAGATAGGTGGTCAACTTTTGTGGCTTGCGGCAGAGTTCATTACAATTATTTGTACCAGATTTTTGTTTGTTTGTTTTGTGGTTTAGTTTATTTTTTACCATTTCCAGTTTGGAGGGGAAATCATCTCTGAAGGAACCTGAGGAGTGTGGCTGAGAGTGTGTTCTCTGCAGGAGAACTTCAATCTCCTGCAACAAGACCCATAGCTGAAGGCAGTCTATTCAAAGCAGGCAGTGGTTTTAGGTGGGGCACGTTATTTGTTCTCCTTTTAATCTATAGATGGGATGGTCCCAGTTGACATAACCACTAATACAGCAACAGCCTAATGGAATTCTGCCTGCTTGTCTTCCCTAGGATCTGTGACAGTGTTTCTTATGTCAAGATGTGCCTTTCTTAGTTGTTTGCCAAGGACTGCAGTTTCTTGCTTGTACAAAAGCTACTTAATGTTAGTGCAAGGTGACTCTGATGAAATCTGTGTACTTTTTTAGCTGTTGTTCTTAGCTGGAATAATTCCTGTTTGTAAGATGTATGTGCTTATGTAATGGAAAGGTTTAGTTAAAACAAAGAAAATGGGAGTCTTGGTTAATAAATACACAGCTTTTCTTACAGCTCTGCATTTAAAGAATGACGTACACTTCTCAGTTGAGGAATACAGAACATGTTCCAATTATTTTTTATTCAGTCGCTTCAACTTGAAAAATTTTCAGCATATATCCTTTTAAGTTACCATCATTAAAAATTACTGAGCTAGAAATTTAAGTTAAGGGCTTTTGCATGTATAATTAAGAGGTAGATTCTTGCTATTAAGTGCAAGCTCAGTATTTTTACAGAATTCGTGCCCTGCATAAAATGAAAAATGATCTGATGTTCAGTTTCTGATGATTTCTGCTATAGTGATTGATCTCAAGAGGTTGAACTATTTATAAAACAGAAGCATTTTTAAACACAACATTTTTGTTTTCATGATTGAAGGAAGGTGGAGTTCTGAATATCCTTACTGCAGTAATCAGATACTCTGTGGTGATACTTGCTGCTCATGCTTTCATAAAAGTTAATGCTTGATTATTTGTTGCTGACATTGGACTTCAAAGTGTTGACATAAGTTCTGCCTGGCTTTAAGCTTAAACATTTTCAAAACAGCCAAGTAATATCCTATAAATCATCTGCAGCTTTGGTTTTCATAGCTATTTAACCATTTCTTTCCACAGACATATTTCTGAATGACTGTGTGAACAACCTAGTGTTTTATTAATCTATGTAGAAAAATGGGTAGCTACAGTCTTACCAACAACTGTAACAGAAAACTTTAACTGTATTACTTTCTCCCATAAAAGTACCATAAGGTTTCCTATTTATTTGTACAGTATCAGGTATAAAAAAGGTTCATGTCTCTAATGTCTGTGTGCTTGTTCTTTCTCAACATCTTTTTGGTTTTTTTTTTAATCAAAACAAAATCCCAGGGGAAAAAAAAAAAAAGGAAGCCTTAGAACAGTTTCAGAACAAGTTGTTTGTCTGCACTGAAGCTGGTACAGTGCAGCACAGCTCCAGGCACATTTCATGCTCAGTGTTGGTGTGACTGAATTGACATAGCTCTCAGCCAATTAAATGCCAATATAAGTAAAACAGAATTTTAATTGCTATATTGGAGTATCTTCAAGGTGGTGTACATCTTAGCCCTTAATCTTTAAATAGGTCAGATGCTGAGAGCAATCTAGTACCAGTATTTAATATATTCTAAGTAAGCTCCATCACATTAAACAGATACTGCTGTCTAGCTGGTTAAGTTTTTCTTCTCTTAATCCTACATTCAACGTAGCTTAACTCCAGTTCTGTAAAGGCTTGCTTAACTGAAGTTTCATTATGCTGAAACTGAGTTTACCTGTTCCTGTAGATCACTAACAGTAGTTAATGTCATCTGGCTTTTTTCCTCTGCTGACCTTGACATGGTAGCAGGGCAACAGTGGAGAAATGTGTGCTGTTACCGTTCTGTGACCCTTGGAGTATAACAGGTAGTGTTCCTTGTGAAACACTAACCAAGAACAGTAACCTCATAATTATCTGCAATTGGATTAAAGAAGGTGTGTTAAATTCTCACCGTATGTTGTGCTGTTATATAGAAATATCCTTGCATGTTAAAAATCATATGGTACTTCCATCACCAACAAAAACTTCAGTCCAAGTATATCTTCAGTCAAGTATTTGAGTGTGCTAGGATTTTTTTTTTTTTTCTCCTGAATCCTTATCTAGCTTCCACTTCTCTTTCCAAATAGTTAGGAACAGCTATATATACCAATGCTTATCTGTGCACATTCATGTTATAGGCCAGTATTCAACTGTCAACCTTGGAGCAAACTGAGTTCAAGCAGGCTGACTTGGAACACCAGAAACCCAATGAAGATGGACCTAAAGCAGTACCTATGGTAAAAAATACAGACCTGCTGGAGGCTAAAGGTGAGATGGAAATCACGATCTGACAATCAGTTGGTTAAGAACATTTGTAATTTAATTGAACATTTAAAAAACATTTTTGTACACAAGATAAAAAAACAACACCAGTAGACTGAACTTTAAGCAATTTTCCAGCTGTGGAGAGGTATAATATTTGTTCAAGCATTTTTATTACTAACATTTCTATGGTTCAGTTTTGTTTAATTGACAAGTTGCATGTAAAGGAAAATACAGATATTTACAACTCTGAAGTCATCCTCATTTAATATGGAGAAATTGCTGTTGGAAGCAATGATTTTCACATTTAAAAGACTTGCTTTCTTAGTAAGTTTGACGCATCTAGCCTGCTACTCCTCCCTATGGAATAGCTGAAAGTTAGGCTTTAAAAAAAACACACCTCCATGCTTCCCCTGGGTTGTCAATGAGCAAAATGCAAGTAAGGAAAATGATACACAGGAAATCAGGTTAGTTAACCTAATGTTGCTTGTGATACTAAACTTGCAGAAACTTATTAATTTGAATAGATGTATTCTCATGCGTTAATCTCGCACAGTACTGTGTGTGATAGAAATTCAATTTCCTATTTAATTATTCTTATATGCTATCTTAAATTAACAATCTGGGGAGCATGCAACTTTCATTTTAGACAACTAGCAACTGAAGACAACATCTATACATGGTTTCTTCAGGCAAGATTTTTTTTTTTCCCTCGTTAAAAAGACAGATACACAGGGAAAAAAAGTATGGTCATGTCTGCTAAAAGTAACATCCCTCCTGCACTTCCCCCATTAAAAATTAGAGCAGCCTTGATTTATTTGCAAATCTGCCCATGTGACTGCTTTGTCTTAAGCTACTTTTGAACACCAAATCGGTTTTACTGTTGGTAAGTAAATGCGACAGGAACCTCACACTTATATAGCACACTGCAATCTTTATTTAAAGTGTTTGTTTCACCTGCCCTATTTATTAACTGCACATATAAAAAATTTAAGTAGGTAGAAGTATGAAACTGTTGACAACAAACAATGGCTCATCCTTTACCCGATGTGGTTGGAAGATTTCTTTCAGAGGAAGAACAAGAATGGACTGAGAAAGATGAAGCAGTATTTATTAAAGATTTTTAACTTGTGCCACCACTGAAAGGCATTAAATTTTTTAACTCAGAATCATTTTTATTGTTTATAGAAAGAATAAATGGCCTAGCTGACATCAGAAAACAGGAGCCTAAGGCAGAAGAGGAGAAGCTCTCTAGTCAAGTGGAAGACCTGCGGGATCCACTCAAAGCTGCTGCTGGTCATGAAGAGATGCTGCCTCAGTCAGAGAAGGAGCTGAATCCTGAAGATGAAAAACAAGCAGCTGGGCAAGATGTGTTACAGCTGGCTGCAGAGCAGGCTGCCAGTGAAGAAGCTGAGAGGGAGCAGCTCCTGAATTATGATGCTAAGCTGGACTTGCCCCCCATAAAGGCTGGTATGTAGCATGCCACATATTGTTAAGCAGTAAAGACGTGAAAGTGTGGAATAGGGCACGATTTCTGCAGCAGTGGTGACAGCTGGCCAGACTTAGTATAGGTTCCTCAAAGGTTAACATGAGATGTAAAAGGTTAGCCTCCAGCAGTGTTCTACAGTCTGTGTATAAAGATGGAAGCTTCTGTTTGTACAACATGGAGCTAACCAGGATGCATTCTTCTGCATCACTATAGTAGCCTTCCTGTCTACCTCCATTAACTGTACAAGGCATTTGGGGAAATCAGTCCCAAAACTGGTATTGAGGCTTCTTAAGAATGATGCATTTGAGAAGGATGAGATATTGACCATCCAAAGCATTGATGGAGAAGAGAGACACTGTAATAATGTTTTGCATATAGTCTTCTTATAGTGTTGTATAAATGCTAGCTATCCCTATTTCAAAATAAGCTAGCATGCATACAACTCTACCTAAGGCTTCAGGTATCTACAGTTTATTGTTGTGAGTTTGCAAACTGGAGATCAAATATTGCAAAGGTGCCAGTTTCTGGCATCTGCCATATATGACCCTGAACCATGTGTCTCTATAGCAGAGTACTGATGTTGTTCCTAAAGCTGACCAGGATCTGGACATCTCTCTGTCTTGAGGAACTTGGTCTCAGGTGGACTTAGTAGCCCAGAGTAATCACAAGGAAGACTTACAGCAGTCAGAGCAGGAACTGATGTCCACAAAAAATGCTGCTTGTGCTTTTCTAGTAAACACAGTCATAGAATCACGAGTAACGACGTTAATGCTGTTGATAACTTGGCAGGGATAAATAACCTTATCTGCATTGTTAAAGCAGTATTTTTCCAACTGCTCTGAAAAGATGCTGGCCAGTGCAGGTTGTTCTGTCCCCGAAAGAGATGTGAATAGAAGTTATGTAAACTGCTTCCATTTTAACAGAAAAAGATACCAGAAAGATTAGGTTAAAAAAACCCCATCTGATAATCGGTGCAAGAAAAAGCTCTGCCATGTAGCCTGTGAAATGTAAGCATGAGCTAGGAAGACTCGCAGGATGTTCTTCAGCCTTGATTATTAACAAAAATGCCACAGTTTACTGCATAGGTTCCCTGTAGACAAAGGTATAAAAAGATTTCTGCTACATTCTCTGAACATCCTTTCTCTTCCAATAAAATCTTCATTTAAAAAGTTTGAGACCTTTAGGTCTCTAACTGTAAACATCTATTTGATATGGTTGTCTGAACATGGACAACTTAAGGCTAAAATTTTTTCAAGCCTGTTTCTAAGCCAGTTACTAATTAGAAGGCTTGGCTTAAGAACATTCAGAACCAGACTCCTGTCTCTCTTTCTAGGGTATGGTTTTTTTTCTGTCTGGTTAACTGAAAAATAAGGGTAGTAGTTTGGCAATCAGAAATAATGTTTCCATTTACTTCTGAGTTCTTTATATAAATAATTCTTAAAATAGTCAATAAAAGTTACTGGAGATGAATTAAAGGCAGACTGAAAAAAATCTTCACTGTAAAAGCACTGTGTGTTAAGTTAGCACATCATTACTTTTTTTTATGCCATAATCACATCTTTCTGCTTGGTGGATAAACTAAAGGCAGGCAGAAAACTGAGTCAAGTTTTAGCAGTGGTGGCAACACATTTCAAAGCAACACCACAGTCAAGTTCTCAGCATTGGAGTCAGGTTTTACTTTTACTTAGGCTGTCCCTTAATATATTCTGAAATTGTTTAATGCTTTTGCTTTCTGTCCACCTGAGTGCTGGCTGAGTCTTATTACACTTCCTAAATCCCAAAAGATTCTTTTTCCCTAGTTCTTTAGACAAGGTTTACAGGAAAAGCTGCTCTGAAATTTAAAAGGAAAAATAATATAAAAACCTATTGTAAACAGCCATTCAGTCATCAGCAAAGCAAATTCTCTGGAAGTTTATTACAGTAACTAACTGTCTCTTGTGCAGGTGACTTCATGGTATAGCATGAACCTAATTAATTTTAATATTTTTCCAGACAAACAGGAACATGAAGCACTGAAACAAGATAGGGAAGTTGATTACAACTTACATGAGAATGAAGCTGAATCAGAAATGGACAAGCAAGCAGCACTTGCAGGGATTGAAAATGGTAAAAAAGAAAAAACGTTTTAACCCAAGTACTACATGCTGAAAAGTTTGAGATAATATTTTGAACATTATCCTGTAGCAGATACAGGTAGCTATTTTGTATTTCTTCTTTGAACTTTCCCTCATGTGGACAGTGTGACCTACTTTCTGTCTAGCATCACTAAGTTACTGTTTAACATGCACTGGGAAGGGACTGTATCTGCACCTTTATTGTATGGTACTTAACAGTCCATTCAGAATTTCTCCTGCTGTGTTCTAGATTTTCCACATGAAGAACTATCACTTCTACCTCTCAAAGAGATTTATATACCTTTTTTTTTTTCCTAATTAGTTCAAAACCCGGAAGATACAAGGAACCACTTATCTGAGCATAGCAAAGAATGACAGAGGTTGTGAACACAGGAAGTTCAGGATGCAGCTTAAGTCACTTCTTCATATAAATGCAGCAAGGATGAGAGCAAATTTATCTGAGAATCTTTTCATTATGTTCTCAAGACTTCAGTAAGAGCCTAAATGAAGTAGTGTTTTCTTGTGAAGTTTTAGTACTGTTTCAGTGGTAAAAAAAAAAAAATCTTAAATCTCTGGAGGCTTGTTTAAAAGCAGCCTGACCTCTGCAATAACTCCTTCCTACTGATTATAGATTTGAAACCAGCTAGCAGTAAGCGTAGTAACTTTGAAGTCGGCTAACTTGTATAGTCATACTACAGAAACAGTATCTGTGCGTTGGTGGTAGATGAGAGTCCTCTGCTGAGGACAGATCTTTCCCCTGAGCAGTGCAGTAGAGAAATTCCAGCCTAGTTTTCAAAGGAGGTTAAGAGCAGATAACTTGACATAACATGGGAAGGATGAAAAATGACCCAGGCTGCTGTTTACCACTGTTGTGCCTGTTCTGGCACATTTTATTGAAATGTGGGAAGACTTCAAAAGCATGATCGTAATCCTTGGATACTTTCCAGTACGATATATTTTCCTGGGCCTCTGAAGAGAAATTACTGGTTTACACTGCAACCAGCTGAAGCGCCTACAAGAACCTGGTTGTGTTCTTAGCTTTTAGGTTAAGGAAAGAAAGACTTGGACAATAGTGCCCTCTCATTAAGAGAGGAGCCAGGGAGAAAGCTGGTTTAGACCTCTGTTCACAAGATGTGTGCCACAGTATGGTTCAGTTACCACTAACTTGCACAAGTTTATAGAGAGTAAAAATTTCATCTGAACTTTTCATGACAGAAGCTATCTGAAATGATGTGCTACAACTACCCTTCACTCCAACCAGCTGCTATCCTCCACTAAAAAGCAAAAAGGCAAATGCTTGCCTTGTAGAACAGCAATCATCTCAGCTGTTCAGTGACTAATATTCTCTGCTGGACTTCTGACAAAGGTAAACTAGACAATGCATTTACGAGACACCTCAATGTTTCTCACAGGTGGAGCTGCAGTTCTGTGAAGTCCTATGTTATGTATAGTATATCTTATTGCTAATATTCTGTAGCCTTTGTCATTTCTGTAACTTGTTGAATGTAAACTAGAAACTAGTTTATTTGTGATAACCTAGAAATACCTTCTGGTACCTGCAGTGTGTAGCCAGCTTGTTGGAAGTTCTCAAGCCTGGCACCTGTGTTCGGAGCAATCTTTGTGAATATGAACCAACCGCTGTCAAGGCAGCATGGGAGCTTCCTAACCATGAATTCAAAAACCCCACAACTGGCTCTTGGCTTTCCCTCTTCGTTGTGTAACTGTTTCTGTGGGGTGTCATTCCTTAATGTATTAGTTTACAACTCCTGTACCTTACTTAAGCTGCCTAAATATGCACGTGGAAGGTTGGTTCATTTGTATATGAAGAATATGAGTTGTCACAGATGAAATGCAGAGCTCAAGTCAAATGGTGCCTATTAAGCCTAAATACATAAACAGTTCACTGATAGTCTTGCTACATGTAACTTGAATTCTTGTAAGAAGAGGATTAACTGCCATTACTGAATTCTTTGTTGCTCGTTTTCTCACTATTGAAGTCAGACTTCATGGTTCTGGGCTACTAGTGCCAGTGTAGCAGGGAAAACAAATCCTTGTAATCTGGAGAGAAAAGGAGGTATGTCTGCTACATACAATTTTAAATTAAAGGAGTTTTAGCTGAACAAAACAATAGATTCACTTGGAACTGTGATTTACATAATGTTTCCTATCACTAAAGATTTTAGTTGCCTAAGGCAGGGAAAGATCTTTGCTGTAATCATCTTGGGGTTAAATAACACTAGTTGTTGCTGTTTTTTTTTTAAATTTCATTTTAGATAAGCATTTTAAAATAAAAAATAGTCTTTGCTGCTGTGTACTCACCTTATTCTGTACAGTTTATATATTTTTAATGTTCATGAAAATTAGAAAGGTGTAATTTTTTCCTTAGTTTTGTAAATTAAGTGGAACTTGGTTTCTCTTCTACTTTCTGCTTCCTTTCTTTGGAGAAATGCTAAAGGCTACCCCTGAGCTGCTGTCATGTAGATCAACATTTTTAAGACAGTTAAGACTGGTGATGTTTAAGACAGTTAAGACTGCCTTTACTGAAAGGCAGTAAAAGCCAGATGAATTCTCAATGCCTGCACTAGAGCCAGTTTGCCAACTTTACAGCCACATTTTCCATGATTTTGATTACTTTCATAGCAATACAGAAGTACATTAATCATAAGCAAACATCTAAAATGGTATATGACCTCATTTGCAGAGAAATCAGGAAAAACATGTTCAGGGCAGTACTGCTGCTTATTTCAATTTCAAGCTGCCAGTTGCTGGCAGACAAGCAGGTGTTCCACTTCTGAGTATCTTCAAGGCTTTCCAGCTCTAGCTCAGCAGTGCTGCTGCTCAGATGATGGAGCTGAAATGGTATCACTCCACAGTACAACTGTATGTTAGGAAAAAAGAACAAAAGTCTTGCATTGTCAAGGAGGAGTTAAAGCCCATCACTATGGAAGGAGTAATTTTGCACCAAAATGAAGAACTGCCCTGTCCAAAACAGTCAGACCAGGACGATTTCCTTGTACTGCTCAGATAAGACTGGGTAGTTTGGTTTATCAAAGAGCAAGTCAGCTTTTTAAAGTTTTTTGTTTTCCTCTTGTAGCAGAAGGTTGCTCACCGCAAAACCTTGCCTTCATTATTTCACACAGGAGAATGACCTGTTCCAGGAAGAAAAGGGTAGTTTTGGGGCTCTTCTTGTTTGGGATGTCTACCTATACCAACCATTACAGAAGGTAGTAGGATCCAGCAGCAGCATTGCAGTCAGAGCAAGAAAATGAAGGTCATGCAAGAGCTGACTGAGCAATGGAACTAATTAGTGATTTCTCTTTCGCAATGACAAAGTAACAGAAGGATTAAAAAAAAAAAAAAAAATCACAGAGTAGTAAAAATACAGTCCTCATGTCTTGTGTTCCTATATTGCTAGTGACTATCGCAGTGTTCAGCTATGCAGATTCATCAGTACCATTACAATTAAAGACAAAGGAACAAACTGCAACTAGGAGTGACTTACTCCATTTCTCACTGTCTTCAAGGACAACTTCTACATTTGAGACAATATACCTCCTACACAATTTACTCTAGTAAAACAAAAACTACTGAATTCAGCACACTACAAGCTAAATTATTAGGTTTTGTCTGCTCTTAATTTCTATAAAGTTTGTTTTACCTTAAAGGACTTTGCAAGAAAAGAACCCAGTCTTCCTACTTGCAAAGTGAGGCAATTTGATGCAATTTAGCAAAAATAATGGAACCTCACAATCTCTCTAAGTGGTTTGGTTCAAAGCAGAATTTCAGTAGCTCTGCTGTTCCTATTAGACATGAGGCTCTACTGCATTATTTTTACTCTGTCCCAAATGTTACTAAATTCCTAAACAACCACTTTGTCAGTGCTCATTAAAAAATTAAAAAGAATAAATCTGTAATAAAATCAATTAAAATAACATTCTTCAACAATGCATTTGATTAAAATCAGCTTCACCTATAAAACTTCATACAAACCACTTTAAATAGCAGTTATTATTCAGATAGATAACACAAAAGATGAGTATAGATATTCCATGTAAAGTACTTCTATCCTGGAGATCCCCCTCAGTCTGGATACGGTACTAGATATTTCATCTTGCAGATGTTAACTGATACATAGATTACGGTCAGATATCCTACTCTCTTGTCTTTCAAACAAGCTTCACAACAGGAAAATATTTATGAGGGGAGAAGTCAAATTCTGGAGGAACCTAGAAATAAGATATTTAAAAACATCACACAGCAGTACTACTGAATTTAATGCTCTAAATGAGGGATACCCTGCAACTAGAAGAAAAAAAAATAAACCACAAAAAAATGGGAAAAAAATAATCCTGGCTCTTTAACACCTGGAAAATATTCCAGCCCAGCTGTGGGTATGCCGATCACTCTCCAGCAGTAATGGGCACACAGCTGTAGACTGGTGGGTGTGCCTCTTCAGTATGCTCCTTCATTCTTCTATGCTTAGCCTTCTGCAGGAAGCCTGAAGGCCCTCTCTTCCCTCTGACCCACATGGCACCTGCTAATCCTGATAACCAGCACTCTCCCCACTGTGTTCACCACTCTCCCCACTGTGTTCACCACTCTCCCCACTGTGTTCACCACTCTCCCCACTGTGTTCACCACTCTCCCCACTGTGTTCACCACTCTCCCCACTGTGTTCACCACTCTCCCCACTGTGTTCACCACTCTCCCCACTGTGTTCACCACTCTCCCCACTGTGTTCACCACTCTCCCCACTGTGTTCACCACTCTCCCCACTGTGTTCTTCCCGCTCTTGAGGAATGCCCATATTCACACATGTCCTCTCACATGCACTTCCCAATTTTTTTTCCAAACGTTTAGAAATGAGAGTATTCCATATTTAAATAACTGCAACAAACTATTTCCAAGGGAAAAATGGATTGTTACTTTCCCAGCTCTTTTAAGAGTCAGAGTAACTGTGGCCTGAATCTGTTCATTCAGCTGTAAGAGACCTGTGGTAGCATTGTGTGTAATGCTAAATTTCACATTCAACTCAACTTTCTTACCTTGGAGTCCTTTTTGTGGCCTCCTGCCAGAAGCTTCATGACCACAATATTGGGTTTAGCAACTTTCAGGATTCTGTTGACCTAAACACAAGACAGCAATAAGTTTACAAGTGAAAGATGTGACCTCAGAAGTATTTCAGAGATAATATTCAAATGTTTACATACTTTACAACAGTCCTCTTACAGAATGAGTTAACAGAGATCAGAGGTGTTTTGGATTTGCTTTTAAGTATAAAAGCTGGATTAATGAAATTTAATAAAGGGAATGCTTATTTTAATACTCTATTTTTTAATTCAACAGATCATAGAAACGATTGCTCCCCATGCTATGGCAAATTCTGAGGCACTCATCCAAATAAAGGTTTAGACAGCCTTTAGGCACCGACTCCCAACACTATGACACAGTGAGAAGGGGAAACTCAAGTAGACTGGTGGCTTTTTGCCTGGAAGTGCTCTGGGCACACTCAAACTTATTCTAACTACCCTGGTTAGCCTCAATCAGATGACTTGTGTGTGAATGCAACTAGGATCCAGGGATGAGGCGGGGATTCCTACATTCTCAGGAGAACCTAATCCCATAACTGTTTTTAACCCTCCGAGATGCAACAGAATGAACATCCTCTTTATTCCAAAATACAATCACAGACACCTAGTTTTTAAGCAATGGACAAAGAGGGAAATTCCTACTTATGTTTACAGCCCAGTGCTCCAGGAAACAAGTGCCAGACAAAAAATCTTCTTTTCAGCCTGATGACATTTAAACCTATTTTTCCCACCTCTCAGGAATACATCTGAATTACCAGATTCCAAGTTAAGTGAGGGAGGCATGTGTCACCTTCCTGATAAAACTGATACACTTTTACAACAGGACCAGAAGGAAACATGCAAGATGGAACTAAGTTGCTATCTACTATTTAAGATACTTAACAGGGAGAGGTTTTGGAACAGTGAGCACAACCTTGATTACATTATCTAATGTACCTGAAACAGACCATTGCATAAGACACCATCACTATCCTCTCTCTACTGCTTAATCAACGCACCCAGCTTTGCTCAGCATTTTGACAAAGTATATTTTGGATCCCAAGCAGATCCAGCTGAAAACAAATATTTATTCTACTATGAGCATAAATTGCAATATTTCAGTCTTACCTCATAGTCTGGATTAGGAATATTCTCAAGAATCATTTTAGCTTGCTGGAAGTGTTTGCTAGCTGCCATGTAGAGATCCGATGACTGAGGAGGTGGGCTGTACTTAT